AAATATAAAAATATATGACAAATGTCTGAAGTTGTTAGAAAATTGTTATAATCTTGGAGTTGCTTTTTAGCATGTTTGGCCAATTTTAATCTTTAAAAATTCGTCAGTCATTATTTACTGTCCTCCTGATTACTCATCTCTCTTCTTGCTCATTATTAATGCTTCAGTTCCTAATTCTTCCACACCTTAGTGGCTTTACTGCCTTGTATGGGGTGATACTGATTAAAAAGAAAATGTTAAACTTTCTTCAGTTCAGTAAGATTTAATTGTATATCTCTTTGGAATAAATTGATAAAATATAATTGTGGTATAAAGATAAGAACATTCTCTCTATATTAATTGATAGTTGTTGACTATTTGCTAAGAGAAAATGTTAGATACTCCCAAATCTCTTCAAAAAAGTAATAATATATTGTCTATTCCAAACTTTCTTTGAGCAATTGTATATCTCCTTAGTGTTCTTGATGATTTCATAATTGTTGCAGCTGATAAATTAATGACCACATTTTTTTTCTATTGTCATTTTATTGAAAAACTAAAAATTTTCCTTTTTCTTATGGATTATACACCTGACAAAAACTGAAGAATGAATTGACCAAAATGTGTTAACACATCAAGAACACAAAGGAGAAATTCAATTTTCTGAGTAAAACTTAGAATACTCTAATATTTATTTTTTAAATGTGTTTAGCTATGTATGTCCTCTTAACCAGTTATGTTAAAACCTTTCCCAATTAAATATATAATTAGGAATTTATCCATTTTGCTATTTTTTAGATGTAGCTGGCAATTGATTAATGGAAAGTATTTTCTAATTTTGCTGTTTATTTCATTTATCACCTCAACTTTCCACCACCTTTGAGGGAATACTTCTGGTGTTATAACCAACCTTTACACTATAGATAGTGTAATCCTAAATAAAAAATGCATTGTTATACCACCATGGAGAGATGCAACCACTGCAAGAGGAATGTCCGATCTCAACCAAGTGTACCCTCCACACCAATGATTATTCTTGACTACCCAGGTTTTGTTGCTATCTGAGTGTTGGGATTCCAAACATTTAGCAACAGCAACACATAAAAAAGTTTATTCTTTGAAGGAAAAGTAGAAGCAGAATGTTAGTTGATATAACATATATTCTTTTTAGAAATATACAATAACAATAAGATGTTTAATGTTATAAAGTAGTTAAGTGTTCATAGTGCAGTGTAAAATGTGTGGATAAACTTACTTTCCTTGTAGGAAGAGAGAATGTATTATCATTTTAAATAAACATCTTTTATAAAAAAAATCAAGTAATTTAATGATTAAAATTTTTAAGCAAATTTCTGTTGTTTTTTGATTTTCCTTAGTTATTTTCCCAGTACCATTGACAATCTATTAACATAAGCATTCACTTACTAATCATCACTCTAAGTAAGCATCCAACTTTCTTATTGACCATTTTCTTTCTATTTCATAATGTACTTTATTACAAATTAACTTACTGCAAATATATTTTGATAACCCTATTGGAATTGTGTATATATACATATTAGTATTAGATATCAAAATATTTTTAGTCAGAAATACGTAAGGTATACCAACTCATTTAGATCTGACAAGTCTGATCTTTCTCATTAAAAAATACATATGTTAATGAACATATTAACTCAACTAAAGAATAACTGTTTATTTTTTTTATTTTTAAATGCTTTTGTAATTTTAAATTTATTATATTTGATTTCTGCCCCATTTGTCTGAGGAGAAAAATACTCATTAAATTTATAAAAGAACTTTCTAAAATTGCAAAATATAAAATTGCATTTAAATTTTATAATGGAACACAGACATTTTATGAAAAATAAGTTTTCATTTCCAAAATTTAATGAAAATGAACTAATAAATGAATATATTTCTAAGCTATGTGAGTCTTTTTCTAAGTGCTTTATAAGTGTTTCTTTACAAAAATCTTCATCCCCACAACTTCCTGTCCTTTGTAGCTCATAATAGTGTTCTCCCTGTTTTGCTCTTCATTTACACACGCTTGTTAGGTAGATTATTTGCTGTTTCCTTTTGCCTCTTTTGCTTTTAATATGTTTTATGATTATCAAATTCACTAAGCCCTCTTCCTCATTATGTGTCCTAGAAATTTCAAATGTCTCTTTCTGATTCTAAGTATAATTTTCTTTTTTGTTTCCATTTTCTTTAAATTTTTTTCATTGCTCACATGCTCCATGCATGGTATTCTCAATATCCTTCTGTAAAACCAAACATTTTCACATTTCATATTTTATTAATTTTAGACTATTATTTCATTTATCGTATTTTTTTTTAATCAAAGCTATAAAATGGCAATGCTGTGATTGTTAAGTAGCATGTATCAGAAATCAGTAACCAGTAAGATTTTTAACTCACATACCTTATCTTTAGGAAAGTCTTTGTGAAAGTACTTTACTGAATGTTAACCAACAGGAGTCAAAGAGATTTATCCCTATAACTATATTCCTTTCTTTTCTAAGCTCCATTCTGCTGCCATGTTTTCAATTTACATTTATAATAGTAAATGTTATGTTAAAAAAATGAATATATTGGTTTCACCATATATTTGAAAACACACATTTATCAGGCAATACATGGAAAACAACATAATGTTGCATTGCATGTACTAAATTTTAACATTCTGATTCTTCTTTCAAACACTTTGAGAGCATTAACAATTTAACACAGGTTAAATGAAAATGTACATTTGTGGCACTAACTGCCAACCACAGTAACTTGAGGATAATCAGTTTCTTGAAAGTGACCAGACTTTTTTTATTCAAGATCATCAATGAACTGGAGGCCTATTATAAGAGTGTCATTTATGTCCAAAAGAAAGAAACATTTTAAACAGTCAGATGTTGTAAAGATAAGTTTGTCTTGTAAGGTCATCAATTTATGACCCTAGCAAATTGATGAGAGCTATTGTTGAGCTATTAATTAAGATGACAGAGTTCATTATCAGAAGTGGGGTAGGTGAGAACATCAGGTCTTTTGTGATGACGATAGAGTAGTTCATGTCTAACAAAACCTTGAAGAGCCATGTGATCTGATCAAAACAGTTATAGAACAAGTTTGAGGAGCCCAACATAATCTGGTTCTTTTTCAACCAGGACCAGAAGATGAACAAGAAGTGGTTCTGTGTGAACCCCATGGAAGTACCTATAAAGATTCATACTAAGTTCATAATAGTTCTGAAGGTGGTGAGCAATGAAAGACATATTATGCTATGCCACTTCTGCAAGGCTTCAGCATCATTGCTGCTGTCAGCATTGTAGTGCTAAACACAGTGAAGTTCTGGATCAATGAAGTGGCCCAGTGATGTCATACATGTTCTATCAGGACTTTTCTCTTTCCTATATAGTCCATAATATGTAGGATTGTCTACCAAGAATTTTCATGATTGTGTCACCTACAACGTAAGGCTTTCTATCTCTTCTAATTTGTATTCCCTGGACTACGGAATGTGTCATGTCATTGAGCAGAAGAGCAAATAGCAAAGACTCATTGAAAGTTACCATCATGGACATAAGCAGCATCAATGAGAACAACCTGATTTTAGAATGCAGTCACTTTTTAGGCCACATTATGGCTTTCTTTGTGGCTGAGGATGGTTTTATTGAATAAACTTTTATGGTTAAAACATGTTTGCAAATGGTTTTTATTTTTTCCATTTTTATTTTACTTTTTTATTTAGATAAAGAGCATTTTGATAAGGTTTTGCTTTTATTGAGAAAACTAAGTGCAACAAAATTGAAAAAGGATTATCTTGTAGCATACACTTTAACCTTATACTCATTAAATATTTTAATATTAGTATAAGCATTTTTGTTTTTCCCCAGATCTCATAAAAGATTGTATTTCTGTTTTTATCTATCAAATGGAGAAAAATGGCATGGTTTAAACACATTACAAGGCATGACAGCCTGTGCAAGATGGTCATACAAGGCACCATTCAAGGTCGATGTAAGAGAAGATGCCAATGCAAAAACTGGTTGGACAATGTTAAACAATGGACAAGTATGACTATACCAGAATTGCTGATGGCTTCCGTTGATAGACCATTGTGGAGGAGATTCAGTGTGGCCTCTGCATTTGAATCCCTTCTATGATTACAAACATCAAGGGGATGATGCTGATGATGATATCTGTGAGTGAGAAAGAGATTTGAAAAATACAGCTGAGATTACACTCATAGATAAGATATTGTTTTTATAAATCTATTCCTACAAACTTGATTGTTATTCTATTTTCTAAAAATGCTGAATTATAGAAAATATAAAATCATATTATTTGTAAACTTGTAAATTTGATGTCTATCAGCTTTTGATTGGAAAAAAATTACTATTTTGTAAATCTAACACTTAACAAATATTTACATAAATATAAATGTCATTCTGAATGAGTAGATCAAATAACAGTTAAGGGCAAAATGGAATCTATCCCTCTGATTGGCCAAAACACAGTAAGCAAATCACAATTGGTCAGAATTCCTACATAGAAAAGGATATCATTTGAGTAGGCACAAATATTGTTACAATTCATGCAGAAACTATGCCAGAATGTTAGTTGAGAAATGATTGCTCTCGGCTGGGCCCATGGGAAAGAAAGTCTGATGTCATGGAGGCCTATAACTTTCTATGACCTCAGAATAGACATCACTGAGTGTTCAATATATGCATATAAAATGAGCTGTCATTCATATCTTGTTCTCAGTTCCTTGAAAGATGCATTAAAAGTAGTAAAGTATGTCACTATTCAGTGTACGTTGGTTGGTTTCCTGTTTCATTTATGGATTTAACACTTGACTTTTTCTTTGCAGATTTCAAGATAAGTAAACAAATATATGGAGATTTTGTTTTTTGATTGAAATTATCTGCATAGCAATACTTAAAAATTATCTGATTATATGATTCATTCATTCATTCTTATTACAATATTACTCATCAATCAAGACTATTTTTTCTTTATTTCAGTTATCCATGTTTTTGATACTAACTCTGGAAGGCTGGTTGGAGATGGTAAACCAATTTCACACCAGGTTAGTAAAACATTGCTTATTTGAAAGGTTAAAATAAAACTATTTATATCCCTTATACATATTTAAGTATTTGTTTAATGCCAATCATACTTTGAGTTGCTGATATAAATAGAAGCAATGTTGTTTTCTGTTTAAATTAGTGGTTTCTAAAAATGAGTCTCATGTAATTGTTACTAATTAAGCATCATTAACAATTTCTCTTGTTAAGAAAATTATATGTATAGAAACAGCAAAGTTATTCAATGAATTCAGCTGAAATTTAACACAAAGATATTTTGTGACATTATGAGTCTAATAGGCAGACTGGGATCACAGTGAATGGTTTAAAAAAAATAAAATCTGTTATTTTAACATTTATCTGATGGATCAATGCAATAGCAGCCAGTTTTTTTTTCTTTGTTACTTGTTGTGAACAAGTCAGTTCATTTCAATCCCAGTAAATAGAATTATTTTATTGGAATTGCATTAAAGTGTTTGAAAATCATAAATTTACCTCTGTCAATACATTTAGTAATAATTCTGATTGATTTTTGTTTATAATTAATAACTATAGTTAATGAAAATTTTTGTTTACTGTGATTCTGCTACTTATAGATCAGATTTAGTAGAGAAAAATACTGGAACAATTCATGGAGTGCATACATTCTGTTAATAAATGGGGTCTCATAACAGGAAAAACTGGTGCATTCAGTTTGGGTTATTTTTTAAACTTCTAAGGCCACTGTCGAGTTACAAAATACCATTTAAAATATCAAGCAAATGGACTAAATAGTACAAGTTTCTATCTTTTTAACAAACTTTGTTATATAGTAAAAAGTCAAAATTAAAATAACTGTCAAATTTCATGTAGACAAATATAAAGTGACTAAAGCATACTTACATGGTTATGCTCTATGAATCACCAAACTCAGTTGTAAGAAGTTAACAGCAGCTAATTTCTAAGATATTGATTATTGTTATATTTTTTTTCAGAGTTTATCAACTTTTTCTGGGTCATTAAAGACTTTGGTTTGTAGAAGGTTGCTTACAATGCTAGCTGTTTCCACGTGGTTCCCTAAGTACTGACCACATTTGACACTGCTTAACTTCAGTGACTGAATAAGAACCAGTGCTTTCAGTGTGATTTGACCATAGATGATTTCTAAAATAAAATAGATGATTGGTGCCATGCAAAAAGGGCAGCAATTGGTTTCAAAACATTATGAAAATGATGGTTGAAGAGATTTTAAATTTTGAAGAAGATAAACATTTTACTACAACCAAAAGCGAAATAAGAATGAAGTGGGAAAATGTCAAGTAAAGATCCCCTCTATAGAATCTCCTCAAACAAATAAAGTTTTACTGAAAAAGGTGATGACTGATTTACACATGCAAACCTCAAACTTTGGAAGTTGCAGTGATCAGATTCTACTGGGTGTAACAGCAAAATTGTCCAAACCGTGTTACAATATAATTGTCCATCTCACAAAATGTTTAATATCTAAAAAAAAAACACTAAACAAGGTTTTACCAGGTTTTCAGATAAGACATTTTGCCATTTTGACACTATTTGTTGTAAGAATCACTGAAAAACTCTGAGTTATTCAGCTAGAAAGAGAACAGGTTAAAACTGTTTTGTGTCAGCCCTACTGTCTTCCCAAATGAGTAATGGTAAGAGGAAAAAGATCATTCAAGTCTTCATTCATACTCTGGCTTTGATCTTCAAAGTCTATTCAAGAAGTGTCAAGAGAATGGTGAATAAGTTAAAGAGAACAATAGAGAGGAAAACTGAATCAGAAGGTTACAACAGAAAGAGGGATCATTATTTCAACTTAGAGCTAAAGAGATCAATTAGAAAAGATCCAACTCAATCTATAAGACATTTGAAATAAATAAAAATCATTAATTAATCATAGCTAAGGATCAGAAGCTGATGAAGGATTGAAATAAAGTTCTAATATATATATATATATATTATATATGATTAATTAATGATTTTTATTTATGATCGATTTCATCACAATTCTTCTGTTAAACTTCGAGAGTAATTATACATTCTTATTGCTCAAAGTAGAGACCAACACTGTTATAAATACCTTGGAGGATTCCAGAAAGATATCTTTAATCATTTCTTAGCTACAATGGTTCAAAGCTTAATCTAAAAAATGGACATTTTTGCTTTTACACCTGGTATATGATATGTGTAACAAAATAATTTGAAAGATCTCCTCACAGACAAAACCTTTTAAAAAAAAGCCAAATTTGTGTATAAAAAAGTTTCAGTTTAATACTCCTAGACTCCTTAATATCCACTTTGAGAATCTTGTGATCAGCTTTAAAAGCTCTTGTTCTTTAAGCAAAAAGATATTCCTTGTACAAAGCTAGGCTGGTTGTGGAAGTAGAGTTTATACTACCTACTCCAGAATGTTGAACTTGATGCCAGTCACTTGAAGGGATCCTTACATAAAATTTGCTTTTCTGTAAGAGGATAGTGGTCTGATTTTGTGCTAGAAGACAAGATTACTAGACTACTAGAAGTAGATGATGCAGGGAAGCATATTCAGAAGTTTTAGACTTTTTAGCAAAAAATAGTGTACACATAGATCTAAACCAAACAGTTCCCAAATGTAGTTACATTGGATTGGCAGGAAGTCACGAGATCAGGTAAGGAGTCATCTCTCGTCTGGCATCTGGAACAACTGTCTCTTGGCCACTTCAATCTCCTGTTTATATGGACCTTCACCTGAAACTGGCATGGGGTATGATGCAGCCTGGGGTTCTGGTATCCCATAATTGCCAATAAGAGCCCATTGTTGTCTGGCTCCGGGAAATTAATTACATGCCCAATTTTGGGGAGATTCTCTCTTCCAAGAGGAGTGGTCACAGGATATCTATCTGCCTCAACTCTTTCCTTCTCATTTTGTCACCTCTCACCAATACTTCCCAATGGGCATGGTTAATTCCTCTGATATTTCACCTGCGCCTGACACCTTGACTACACTTTGACCAATCTTGCTCTGGACCACTTCGCATGGCATAACTTATGGTCATTAATTAAAATTATCATTTGGATTTTCTTGTGAGCAAAATTTTCTCAGACTGGTTTTTCTTAAAAATCAGAAATTTACCAGGTGATTCAACTGGCCAGCTATTCCTCTAACCTTACCAGGGTCATTGTATTCCAAGCACCCTAGGTTATAGAAAGAAAGCCTATTTCTCTGATCAAATCTTATTTGTCTTATTTATATTGTGTTTTCGTCTCGAGCTGCCTCATTAACCAGCTGTCAGCTTAAAGATTGCCACATGGCTTCCTTGTGGTAATATCACTTTCCTTCAAGTAATGTTTTCTGGTTTCTTAAAATTTTCCCTTTTGGAAAAAGAGAAATCTTCCTTCTTTCTCTTGGTCTGTCCATCATTCTTTTTGTTAACCCTTCTCACTTCATTCCAAACTATGTTTTTGATTTAACCCCTTTCTTTCCATTTACCAGTGACAAATAGTGTCATATCTTGTCTTTGAAAAGAATGATTATTGTCACAATGCACACTCTTTTTGTATTTACCCACCAGATGCTTGTTGGTTAATGTGATTTTACTTGGAAATATAAGGTGATATTTAAAAACAGATGTGATCTTTAGAAGTGGGTCAGATTGTGAATTTTTCTGCCTTCTTTTATTTGTGTATGCATGCACACATTACAGTTAAATTAAAGAGGAAGCATTCAGATACTTAATCTAAATTATTTCAGAAATCTAGGATTTGTTCTTTTATAATCAAATTATTTTTTCTGATTTCACTGAAATGTGTCAAGGTAAAAATTTAACCAAATTATTTTATTGCCCATTCTGTCAAATTCTTATTTAACTTTACACGTGTGTATGAACATATGGAATTTGAAGTGTGTAATCCTATTCAGTTATATGTCTATAAATCAGATACTGATTTCATGATGAAATAGTTATTCACAATAGCATTTATTTAGCTCAAAAAGAATCTATAAATAGTTTTTTATTTCAAATATTTATGTATAATTCCTCTGATTGACTATGGATTAATTGGAAAATGTATACCCATTCAGCTAATAAATATGTATTTAAAATAAAGGATAGTCATACTAGATTGAGCTTTTATTCATGTTTGCTATAGTTTCCAGCTGCTTGAATGGTTTCTCATTATCAGTTTTATTTCTGCTGTTTCTCTGATTAAATGATTTCTGGTTCAGTAGTTAACTAGGTTGCTATTCTTTCTATGATTTATAACATAATCAAAGGTTCATATACTACTTTTTATATGCTCAGTCTAATAAAATATTTTTTTTTGTTTTTGATGAAGAATTCTGATTGTAAATTGCTAAGAAAATTTGAATCTCTTCAGTAGTGTAGTTGAGATATTTATTCTTTAATCTACTGTATACACTGCCACTGCCATGCAAAAACTAAGATATGTTAGTGTACTCCAAATTTATACTTAATTGCCACATAGTATTTAGGATAATATATCCATCATTACAATTTGTTCCCCAAAACAGAAATTACTTATGACTCAACCTAATATATTTTACAATATTTCCACAATCTTATTAAAACTCTTTTTGTGGATTCTTTATTTTGCAGTTAAAATTTAAGTTCCCAGATTTCCTATACATTATATGTAGGCTTGTCTGTGGGGCACAATAGTACTTTGGTCAATTGTGTACTACTGCTTACACAATAATATTGCATAGCTATGATTTTTGAAGACTATAAAGAACTTTATCTTTTATTACTAAAATTTCACATTAATTGTAACTGTCTTATTTACATTATTTAGAGTGGGACTAGCATCCTTATCTTTGTTGTTATTATCATCGAAGTCTTTTAACTGTTGTATCCTCCAGTCTTCTTCAGGTGTCTGTTGATCTGGTTAATCTTCAAGGAATTTTCAATCTGAACCTTTATTTAATCATAAGGTTTGGAAACAAGAAATAGATGGAGTAAAATTTGGTGAGCAGAGTGAGGGGTACATGTATTTAAGCACTAGATTC